TATTCTATTCTTTTATTCTATTCTATTCTTTTATTCTATATTCTATTTTCTATTCTATTCTTATTCCTAATGCTATTCTATTCCTTATTCTATTCTATTCTATTCTATTCTATTCTATTCTATTCTATTCTTTTATTCTATATTCTATTCTATTCTATTTTCTATTCTATTCTTATTCCTAATGCTATTCTATTCCTTATTCTACTCTGTTCTATGAATAAAAGTTTAAACCTAAGGCTTTTTGCTTAATAATTGCCACAAAACAGACTGTAAAATCAGGCTGGGCCCCTGGGTAATCCAATTTACATGCAAATTATGCAAATTATGGTCATGATGGGCAGGCTCTATTATTTAAAATCAAAGAGTGGCACAATCACCTTGCCGGCTCTCGAAAGCAGAAAATCAGCGAAGGAACATCCTGCCTCAAAAACGTGGAGATCAGAACTGTAAGCTACAATAACAGGTAGTCCTCAACCTATGACAACAATTGAGCCCAAGATTTCCATTGCTAAGCGAAACAAGTAAGTTTTCCCCTCCCCTCCACCCATTTTGCGACCTTTCTGGCCACAGTTCTTAAGTGAAACCCTGCGGTTGTGAAGTGATCTGGCTTCCCCACTGACTTGTTAGAAAGTCGCAAAAGAGAATCACATGACCCTGGGACACTGAGACCGCTGTAAATAGGAGTCACTTGGCAAGCACCTGGATTTTGATCAGTGACCACAGGGGCATTGCAAATGGTCGCTAAGTGTGAAAAACGGCCCTAGGTCACTTTTTGCAGTGCCGGTGTATAATTCTGAACGGCCGCTAAATGGACTGTTGTCAGTTGAGGACTACCTGTACCTAAAAACCGGACGTGTCCCTCAACCCTCAAAGAGGAAGGCGACTCACTCCAGTCGGGTGATGGGGTGAAGTTTCCACTGGTCCTCCTCCTCGTCAAAGAAGGATCTATTCATGATCTTGTTCTTCTCTTCCAAAGGAATGAAGTTCTCGATGATCAGGTGCCTGTCGGGAGATCGGCAAAGCGCAAAGTGAGATCCGGCGGGAATCCAGAAGATCTTTCCCTTGCTGGACTCCCATCTTTCAGGTCGCTCAAGTAAATAAGTTCGTTCTTGTCTCTGGGGCAGCTGACCACGAAGTTCCTTCCATCCCGTGTTCTAGACCGGGGTGGGAAACTATGGCTTG